TTAATTAAATGTAATTAATTTAATGTACACATATCCACTTCAGCTTCACTTACAGTGCATCTGGAAAGTGTTCATAGCGCTTCACTTTTTCCACATTTATTTATGTTACAGCCTTATTCCAAAATGGATTAAATTAATTTATTTCCAAAATTCCACACACAATACTCCATAATGACAATGTGAAAAAGATTTTTTGAAATTAAGCCTTAAGTCTTTTTGAATATGATGCCACAAGCTTGGCACACCTGTCTTTGGGAATTTTTGCCCATTTCTCTTCACAGTACCTCTTAAACTCTATCAGCTTGGACGGGAAGCGATGGTACGGCCATTTTCAGATCTCTCCAGAAATGTTCAATAGGATTTAGGTCTTGGGTCTAACTGGGCCACTCGAGGACATTAACCGAGTTGTTGTGAAGCCATTGATATTTTGGCGGTGTGATTTGGGTCATTGTCCTGCTGGAAGATGAACCGTCGCCCCTGTCTGTGGTCAAGAGCACTCTGAAGCAGGTTTTCAATTAGGATGTCTCTTTCTGCATTCATCTTTCTTTCTATCCAGACTAGTTTTCCAGTTCCTGCTGCTGAAAAACATCCCCACAGCATGATGCCACCACCATGCTCCACTGTAGGGATGGTATTAGCCTGGTGATGAGCGGTGCCTGGTTTTCTCCGAGAAGTAATGCCTGGCATTCACTCCAAAAAGTAAAATTGTAGTCTCAACAGACCAGAGAATTTTGTTTCTTGCCTTTTGGCAAATTCCAGGCGGTGAGTGGATTCCATCTGGCTACTCTACCATACAGGCCTGATTGGTGGATTGCTGCACAGATGGTTGTCCTTCTGTAAGATTTTCTTCTCTCCACAGAAGAACGCTGGAGCTCAGACAGATTGACCATCGGGTTATTGATCACCTCCCTGACTAAGGTCCTTCCCCCCTGATCACTCAGCTTAAATGGCCGGCCAGCTCTAGGAAGAGTCTTGTTATTTCAAACATCTTCCACTTACGGATGATGGAGGCCAATGTGCTCATAGGAACTGACAGAGCAGCAGAATTATTCTGTAACTTTCCTCAGCCTTGTAGACAATCCTGTCTGGGAGGTCTACAGACAATTCCTTTGTCTTCATGCTTGGTATGTGCTTTGAGATGCACTGTCAACCCTGAGACCTTATGGCTCATTTCCACTTGAGTGGTACAGTACGGTACGGTTCGGTACGGGTCACCTTTATCAGGGTTGCGTTTCCACTACCAAGGGTACACTTTTGGTGGGCGTGGTGTACGACAGAGAGTTACAATCGATGTCATTCTCACTCGAATAAATGTCAACAGTAAAGCTGTACAGGTTGTCCACAAATCATATGAGAAGCACTTCTCACAAAACAGATGCTTTATACACATAAATACTTGTTTATAAATGTTTACGACTAACCTTTCTATGAACATGATTTGATTATAACTGCATATCAATGACTAAAATAAATACTACCTACTGTAACGTCTCCAATAATTAAAATAAATATATAAATGCAGCCAATATGAACACATATACAGTCTCCGATATGTTACTAACTACAGAATAACTACACACAGCAAACATTTAGTCCTTATTTAGGTTCATAACCATCACGCAACATAGCCCACAGTCAGTGCAAATCTCTCATCTATGTCTTTAATCTTCATTAGCACATGTGACCCCTGTTAGAGAGTAATTATGTCATTCCGAATTTGTAATAGTCCAGAAGGCGATGATAAACATGGCAGTTTTTTCGTGATTCAGGTTGCTGAAACAATTTGCTCCTGAGTTTTGTCAGGCTTCTCCTTTGTTCGCGCTTCACTCTCGCAATTGTCCTTTTCTTTTTGAATTCGTCACTTTCGTGTTTGTCAGTCTCCGACAGGATCGGGTTTCAAAAGCATGTCAATAATCAAGCGCACGTTATTATCATCAGCTCAAGAAGTTTGTTATTTCAGATATAGACGCGTACGTGAGTGCAAGCATGAAAGCGAAACCGCTGGTGCTTCAGACTGGCTCGTGAAAAACTGAGAGGCACAGGGTAAACGTGCTCTTCTTTTTGGCTTTGTGGCTGTTCATCAAGATGACGACAAGGTTTGTTTGAGCCCGGGTCGACCATGGCTCATTATTATATGTATTTGAGCTGTAAAAGATCTCTCAGCTGTGTGTTTTAAACAGGGCAGCTCTATTGTTTTCATTCTGGCTTGTTGTGTAAGCGAATGACGTTTCTCTAGTCTAGCTCCGCCTTTTGGTACCCTTTCTCGTGTTTGGTACCCTTTCGAAAGGGTGCCGAAAAAATGGTACGGTACGGTTTGGTATGCCTTTTGACAATGGAAACAGCCATAAAAGCATACCAAACCGTACCGTACTGTAACGTACCACCGAGTGGAAACGGGTCATTATATAGACAGGTGTATGCCTTTTCATATTATGTCCAATCAACTGAATTTACCACAGGTGAACTCCAGTAAAGCTGCTGAATCATCTCAAGAGTGATCTGTGGAAACAGAATGTACCTGAGCTCAATTTAGAGCTTCATGGCAAAGACTGTGAATACTTATGGAACTGTGATTTTTTTTTTTTAAATAAACAATTAAAAAATTTTTTTTAACATTGTCATTATGGGGTATTGTGTGTGTGAAGTTTGAGGAAATAAATTAATTTAATCCATTTTTGATTAAGGCTGTTACATTTAAAATGTGGAAAAATTAAAGCACTATGAATACTTTCCAAATGCACTGTACATGTGCTAACTTCACAATTTTATTTATATGTAAGGTTTTTACCTAGGTATATGTCCATGCATGCATCTGCCTGATTATGTCAATTTTATTCTACAAAAAAAGAGTTGGAGTTGGGTAGAGTTGTCAAATGGTCACAAAAGAGATCAGTTATCTCTTTAAGTCTGTCAGTGATCCAGCATTTTGAGATAGGGTATAAAGATCATTCCACCATCCAGGAGCAGTGAATGTGAGACATTCTCATGAGACATTTGTACCATAATGCGATACTCAATGAATTAATGGTTGTAATGTTACTGGTTGGTTTAGCTTTTTAAGCATATAATTATTTCAAGGGTGTTGTAAATGTGGGCATGTTACTATTGCGCATCCAGTCAGAATTATGCTAGCCTTTGATATGATGTTTGCAGCAGTGATAACGAGGCCGACAGCAGTAAAAAAATGTAAAGTGAGATCACAATCCTGTGAAATTTGAGAACATAATGTGTTCATGACTCATGATCTCCTGAGATCTCCCTCTCGCTTTTTTTTGTCACAGTTTATTTTATTTGCCTCTTTGTCTTTGTTGATCCTTCTCTTTTGACCATGTGGCTCCAGATTGTCTCTCACATTCCCTAGTGGGGCATATTTGATACAAGCACCCTTCATCAAAAGCAATGCTGCAACATGAACACAATATATAAAAAAACTGCATCATAAAAACAATCTTTTATAGCACTGTAATAAAAAAATAAGGTGACCACACATTATCAGTACTGCTGCACACACAATATTGCTTGCCCATTATGAGTATACTGTAAATGCTCAACCTGAATAAGTGTTGTCCTATATGATGATACAGGATGTGGGTAGAGAAATGTTATAAACAGTCACAGATGTGCACCATTTACATACAATTTTGCTTATTTTGCTTAGTTAATTGACCAAAGGAGATATTATATCGGCTTTTTGCAGAGATTAAAAGACCATACATTAGAAATTAAAACATATATACAGCATATAACCTGTTGTTATTTAATGACCTTTGATCTAAAATATTTGAAGATTTCTTCAGATTTTAAACTATTTCAATAATTTCCACATTCAGTATTGTCTGTTATGGGTTGTATTGAAATTGTATTTAAATTAATAACATCTTGCTGACGAAGGATTAATATCAAATGGTTTTAGGGATATCATTCGTAAACTAAATATACTTAACAAGTTTGTTTTTAATTACATAAACTATTGTTGTTACCCTGAATAGTGATGTCTTCTGTAAATGAAAGTAAAATTTTCAAAAAAAAAACAAAAAAAAACATTGTTTGTTCTGAACCCACCTTCCCCCATAAATCAAACGAAATAAATTCTTTAAGATATATAATGTTAATTTGTTATAACTATTAATCAATTAATCTACTTATTAAGAAAGACGGATAGATAGATAGATAGATAGATAGATAGATAGATAGATAGATAGATAGATAGATAGATAGATAGATAGATAGATAGATAGATAGATAGATAGATAGATAGATAGATAGATAGATAGATAGATAGATAGATAGATAGATAGATCGATCGATCGATCGATCGATAGATAGATAGATAGATAGATAGATAGACAGACGGACGGACGGACGGACGGACGGACGGACGGACGGACGGACGGACGGACGGACGGACAGATTAGACAGACAGACAGACAGACAAACAGAGATAGATAGATAGATAGATAGATAGATAGATAGATAGATAGATAGATAGATAGATAGATAGATAGATAGATAGATAGATAGACAGACGGACGGACGGACGGACGGACGGACGGACGGACGGACGGACGGACGGACGGACGGACGGACGGACGGACGGACGGACGGATGGATGGATGGACGGATTAGACAGACAAACAGATAAATAAATTAGACAGACAGACAGACAAACAGATAGATAGATAGATAGATAGATAGATAGATAGATAGATAGATAGATAGATAGATAGATAGATAGATAGATAGATAGATAGATAGATAGATAGATAGATAGATAGATAGATAGATAGATAGATAGATAGATAGATAGGACAACTTAATTGTTTTATGTTCAATTCACTTAAATTTTTTAAAGTAATTTAACTTAATCGGTTTGTGTTGGGACAACATGAAGTAATTAGGTGAAACCCAGCATTTTTTACTGTGTAGATGGATGGATAGATGTTGATTGAAAGGTAAATTGAAATATTTTAATGTTTACCCTTTTTCTTTTCACTACTTAGTGGTCCAATGGTGAGCTTTTACTCAGTGTTTAGCTAAATGGAGGAGCGGGACCGCAGTCGCTCACCATCTCGCAGGACCAGCAGAGTAGAGCAGGTGGTGGGACGCTGGCTTCGCCGCTCCAGAGAGTCCATCAGCCGGTAACACTTACTTTCTTACATTGTATGGTGTAAAACATTTTCTTTTATTTTGTATTTAAACAAGATTACTGTATCTCCCTCTCACACACACTGTCTGTACACAGAGAGCGTGTATTAGAAGATGGACAGGTTACTGACAATGGCTCTCAGGAGCAGAGGAGCTGCACTCTTCGAGTCACTGTTAAAATCCCTCTTGACTCCACCCTTAACTCCCATGGTTTTACTGTATCAACACACACTCCACCACAGGTGCTGGACGTGACAGAAGGTACATCACACACACAATCATCATATTTTGTTAATATATTGCAGTAAGTTTGTAAACCTTCAAGCAGCATGTTAATAAGTTTAACAAGAGATGTCATGCAAACTGCATATTATTATTATTATTATTATTTTGTCGAGTACTGTTCTGAATAAGAAATATTACATAAAAGATATTTACATATATAATTGACAAGACAATAAATAAATGACAAAAATTAATAAAATAACCTCTGAAGTTTTAAAACTTGGTTTTTCTATGTTTACGAGACCTTTGTTTTGCTGTTCTTCAGACATATCCTCCTTGTCCTGCAAATGCCTCAGTTTTCCGGAATCTTTGCATATTTGAACCCTTTACAGCAGTGATTATGATTTTCAGATCCATCTTTTTGCTCTTTTTATTAAACAACTGACAATTAAACAACTGAGTGTCTTAAATACAACTGTTCAAACCCTCACTGATGGTCCAGAAGGAAACATTATGCATTAAGAACAGGGGGTAAAAAAAATTGGAATTTGAGGATCAAGGTAAATAGTACTTAATTTGTCTTTTGCCAAACATGCAAGTATTTTCTGTTATTTCTGAAGGGAAATAAATGTACTAAAGTACTAAATGATATTTCAACAAAGTAAGAAAAAACTAGACATCTTCAACCTGTTTAAAAGTTTTCACCCCCCAGGAACCTACAGTTTTTCTCAATCCCTTTTTTTAGTTATTCCAAGATATAAGCAAGGGTTAACAAACTTTTAACAATATTTTTAAACAATTTTGTCTTGGATATGTAAACATTTTATGTAAAATGTATGACTCAGGACAGACATGGGCCGCAAGACATTGTACAAGATTGTAACGTATGATAACCTTGGATAAAAATATCACAGTATTATGGTGTTGTACTACTCTAAAATATGTTCTTTTAAAAAAAAAAAAAAAACTTTTCCTCCGTTGAACACAATATGTTTTATTTTATTATATTTTATTTTATTTATATATATTTTAACAGTTTGAATATTTTGGAACAGTAGCTTTTGATGCGGGTGGTCATTTTCTGCTGGAGATACTGTTGCCCTAACAAACTAAATAAAATAGTTGCAAAAAAATAAAAAATAAAAACTGTACAAATACTTTAGGAACGTTATATCAGAAAATTCTAGCGGTTTTAAAACCTTGACTCTTTCAAACTGCGGTAAACCTTGAAACTGTTTATCGTCCCATGTCTAGACAGAAGTAAATAAAAATAGCATGCTATTTGTAATTTTTCTCTTATTTTGTTAAAGGCACAGTGGGGTTTTTCACTGCTAGAGTGTTTAGATCAGGCTTTTCATTAGGTTGATCTTTTGTGTTTAATTAAAGTTGGAGCTAAAATCTGCTGGACACCGGCCCTCCAGGAACAAGTTTAGTGACCACTAGTGTAGATTTTCTAACCTTGTATTAATAACAAAGGTCATTTAGAAAATATTGATCTAATTAATCATTCAAAATTTGTATTAATATTAAGGACAGGATTTTATCACAGGTGTGTATATAATTATTATATATGTATATAAAATAATTAGGACGTCACTGTGGCGCAGTGGGTCACACGTGTGGGTCACACAGTTTGCATTTCTATGTGGAGTTTGCATGTTCTACTGTGTTCGTGTGGGTTTACTCCAGATGCTCCAGTTTCCCCCACAGTCCAAAGACATGCGCTATAAATGAACTGAATAAACTAAATTTGCTATAGTGTATGTGTGTGAATGAAAAAGTGTATGGGTGTTTCCCAATGTTGGGTTGCGGGTGGGAGGGCATCCGCTGTGTAAAAATATGCTGAATAAGTTGTCGGTTCATTCTGCGGTGGTGACCCCTGATTAATAAAGAGACTAAACCGAAAAGAAAATGAATGAATGAATGAATGAATATAATAATCAGACTTTTTAAAATATTATTCACTATAATATATTATATTTTGAATTTAATGCCTATACTGCTCTGAACTATTGGCAGCCTCTCTTCCTCACGTGGAATGAACACACTGAAGCTAAGCACTTGATATTAGCCAGGTGGACTTGGTTACCTTCAAGGCTTAACTGTGTGACTTCCAACAAGCTTCCATTAGATGCTGTGAATACATTTACAAGGATAACAGGTAGAGAGCCACTGGCCGTAAACTGCGGATTAAAAAAAAAACCTTGCTAAGATTTACATTTTGTAAGATACATTTTGATTACACAGCACACAAAGCCTTCATCAAAATCAATAAAACAGCTACATTGCATTAGCTACAAAACAAGGTTCCATTATTGCAAAAATAAAGGAAATTGCCGTAATACTTTTATTGTTCAAAGAAACTTCAGCCAGATCACTCTAAATCTTCAAAAATAGTTTCAAACAGGTAGTTACATAAAAAAACACCTGCTTTTACAATAAGCTTTTATTTCTTAACAATGAACAACGCTACTAATTAGCATTTATTAATATTAACGATTTATCTAAACATTTACTAACAAATGGGGTATATGCACAGTTGCACACAGACTTTTAAATTCAGTCAGCTAGCCCTAGGGCTTCCGGTTAATTGCCATTCAATTTCTTTAAAAAACAGCGATCTTCACTGCCTGGCTGAGATTCAATATAAAGTCCAAGACCAAAAAAGAAACACTGCATTAAATATAATTTTTTCTTCTACATGTTTATTAAATAAGGAGATTATTGAAATTACAGTTTCTTTTAAACCTTTTACAGAATGTTCATCATTGGCTGAAAAACTATAGCTGTGTATATAGCGCGTTAAAGACTTTAACTTTTGTTTATATACTGAACTTTTTTTTTTACTTTATTATTACAGTAACAAAAGGTTAAAATGTTGTATGGATAGTTCACTTAATTTTTTTTTTATTTGTATAGTTTTTTATGACTCTGGACTGGTCTTAAGTCATATGGGTATTTTTGGGGAAATTTGGGAATTATTTGGGTCAAAATTACAAATTTTTCTTTTATGCCAAAAATCATCAGAATAAAACAATCACGTTCCATGAAAACATTTGGTAAATTTCCAACTGTAAATATATTAATTCATTATTTGATATATTTTCTTTTGGGCTTAATCACTTTATTAATCTGGGATCGCCACAGCGGAATGAACCGCCTACTTACCCAACATATGTTTTACCCAGTGGATGCCCTTCCAGCTGTAACCCATTTCTGGGAAACATCCATACACACTCATTCACATTTATACACTATAGACAATTTAGCCTAGCCAATTCAAGGCAAATTAGTTTACCTGTACCGCATGTCTTTGGACTGTGGGGGAAACCCACGCGAACGCAGGGAGAACATGCAAACTCCACACAGAAACGCCAACTGACACAGCCACAGCTCGAATCAGTGACCTTCTTGCTTTGAGGCGACAGCACTACCTACTGCGCCACTGCGTTGCCCAACTGTAAATATATCCAAACTTAATTTTTGATTATTAATAGGCATTGCTTATCATATTACTTTTAATATAAATGTATAGTATTATAAGTACTTATTTTGGACATAAGTGATATTCTCAATATTTTGATTTATAGACATTCCAAATATTCAAATAATCATATCTTGCCTAAATATTGTCCAATACTATAAACGTACATCAGTGCAAGACCAAATCACATATTAATCTCAATTTTAACAAACATCAACAGGTTTTGTGGTCAGATTTATTCACGTCATTACAATTTTACAATTACAGCATGTATTTTTCCAGTAAAAAACAATGGATGGTTCACGCATCATTTTTATATTATTTTTTATTATATTAGAGTGAGTAAATAATGATTAAATTATCAATCTTTGGTTAGGCTGTCCCTTTGATTTGTTTAATAATTAGAACAATTGGTCCTTTCATGTAAAGTGTTAGGGTCTATAGCAATTTAAAACCAGATTACAAATTTATAAATAATCCCCGATCACAGGTTTGAGTGTTGAAACCTTTGTGTTGGCTCCATGTACAGCAACATTTTGGCTGACTGGTTTGGCACATTAAAGTGTCTGCAGGAAGCCCTAGAATAGCTGAAGCCATCTGGTTACCCCACAGCCAAATAACTAACCACTAACTAGAACAACAAATTTGGTAAAATGGAAATTATGACAATTTAGTTCTAAAACAGACTGACAGCTAAATTGTCATGAACGATTGCCTTTTTTTTTTTTAAATAGGAGGCCCTGCTGATGGAAAGCTGGTTCCTGGTGACCAACTTTTCAAAATAAACAACATTACTGTTGAAGATCTTTCTACAGAGCAGGCCGCTGACATCATCAGGTATGGTACTGTGTGTCTATGGATGTGTCTCAATCAGCTCTCTCATTTAATAGGGCACTGATCAGCGATTCAGACATCTTAAGCGCTGTCCAAATTGAATTTTTTTTTAGTGCACAGAAACGTTCAATCCATTGAACATGTACACATAGACATCCCCTTTATACTTTATAACTTTTTAACCTCCTAACTGTTAAAAACTATTAGTAATTAGTTAAATTAATTAGTGAAAGTTATTAATAACTAATAAAGTTATGGCTACTAATACATTACAAATAACATTGCTGTAATAATGTGCACTTCTTGTAAAGCTGCTTTGAAACAATAATTATTATAAAAAGCGATATACAAATGGTAATGAGTTGGGTTGCAACAGAGGTAAGGATCCAAATGCAGTTTATTAAGAGAATCGTCAGGCAGACAAAGGTCAAAACAGGCACATGCAGAAGCATGCAAATAATCCAAAAGCAGAGTCAGAGTACAGGTGAAAGGTTGTGACAGAACAACATAAAACAATAAACAAAGCTCAAAAAATATGGAAAGCAGGACAAGGAAATGAAATTCTCACTTACAGTTTACAAGACTCAGCAAAGAGTGTGTGAATAAGGTGTCTTTATAGTCCTAGTAATCAGTCCAACATGAGCTTCCAGCTGTGTGTGTAACCACGGGGAGTTAGGAACTGGTGTGTGAGTGCAAAAACTTCTGGGAGTTGTATTTCATTTTTTATGTTCTCCAGGGATCTGCACAGGCTAGATCATTGGTGATAGTGATAGTGACACAAATAAACTTCAACTGAATTAAAGTAAAACTTCCTGAAAAGTCCTGTAATTTACCATGAATCATGGAGCATCAATGCTTAATGTTAATCCCTTAAAGTTAGTGAGGTACGCAAATTTCTTTTTAGACTTTTATTTTAGAATGTTGATGTAATTCCACGTGAAACGGAATATTGAATAGGGGTCGGGGTTTCTTTTTGCACATATTTGCCTCATAGTTAACTAATGGCAAGAGGGCTGTGGTTAGGAATATCATGGCTGAAGCCGTCCAACATCAATGGTTTCTCCAAACACAGAAGCAAATAGTCAAAAATGTATTGAAGATTACCAAAACAAACATGTTTTTAATGGATTAATTTTAGGTGGATTAAATGTTTACAGAAACAATGACAATGTGCCCTAGCAAAATAAACAATTTAAATTTAGATTTTAACACAGACTTTAACAGAAATGCTTAAGCACAAAACTTAAACCAACTTACCAAAATAAGGACATACAAGAGACTTAAAAAAACACTGTTGTATGTATATAATATTTAACCATAAATTAACATTGTTAGACAAGTACATGACATTCTAACTAACATTAACAATCGATTAATGATTGAAATATTGCTGGTCCTCAAAACATTAAACTATTTAATGTAATTTTAAAACATAAAAATGTGGCCATGATCAGTTCTGCTGTTGTTCATAAATTCTACTCTTGATGTTGTACATTGAGAATGTTCCCATGTTGTGCCCAGTGTCCCAAAGTGGTGAACCAAAGACCTTACCAATGACTGAATTCCTGTAAACAGTCTACTGATTCATGACAAAGCTGATTGACACTCACCCTATCAGAGTCTACAAAATCTGCTTTATCTGACTGCTCAAATGTCCAGTATTACCCAGTATTTTATATCACTTTCGTGTGCCCAAATTTAATTAGAATTTGTATTTTCAGTTTAGAAACTTTAGCTTCATCTGTTCCACTAATTCTACTGTACTCATTTTCATTTGTTTATAGAGAATGTCAGAACACAGTAATATTGACTGTCCTGAGAAATACATTGGTAAGTATATTTGTGCATACAGACTCTCTCTCTTTCACTGTTCCATTGGGGCATGGGCAGGAGGATGTGGTGTTTGACTGCATTATGGCACCAAGCCGATATGATGACCATGTGGGCTGCAAAGGACAGCATAGAAATAAATGAGTGAAAGAATGAATGAATAATTAAATAAAGTATTTAATAATAAGAAATTAACATTAATTATGCATGCAATATTTTATGGTGGAAATATTAAAATGTCATTCATTGCAATAGACATGTTAAAAAAAACAAGTTTGCATATTGCTTGCTCGCTTATTATGTAGCATTAGTTTTTTCAATGATGCTTTGATATAATATTTTATATTGAGTTGTTGTTTAAAGTTGTTTTCTTATATAATTAATTTAAAATATCTTTAATACAATTATGACATTATATTTTTTCGAAGCATTCTTTCTTTTGTAAAAGAGATTAAATTTGAGTACTTGGTTTATTCTGTTCATGCATTTGAATTAGTATATAGTGTAGGGCTGCACAATATATTGTTTGAGCATTGATATTGCAATGTGCGCATCCACAATAGTCACATTGCAATATGCGCAATGTTAAGTCTGGATTATAGTTGAACAGGAGCTAAAGAATTATATTTAAATATCTGTATTTATACAGAAATTATATGATATGTTACAAGACAAAACCCATTCTTAACTTGGGTTTTACTTGAATTTTTGTCTTGTTCCTAGTCCAAATGTCTACATTTTAAAGTGAAAACAAGATTACTTTACTTACATTGCAGATAATTTGAGACACTGTTCGCTGCAGAGCCACTTGGGCTCCAATGAGAGGGTGCTTGAGCTCCAACCCCTCCTCCTATGAGCTGCTTTAATGCGTACATCCACCCCACCTCTAACCCCAAACCCAGTAACATCACTTGTAGAAGAAGTGCAAGGAAAGAGGAGCCGGAGCTCAAGCTCCCCCTTGCTGGAGCTCAGCTCTGCCCAAGTGGCTCTGCAGTAAGTACCACTTGGATAATTTGAATTGTTTTAAGGAAAAACTCTTAATTTTGCCTTATTATTATTTTTACTATTTTATTTAAAACAAAACTAATACATTTGACTTGATCTACAGAAAAATAAAATATAACAATATCAGATTTTTCCAATAATGTGCAGCCCTAATATAATGTACAAACAAAACAAAGTCCAAAGACATGAGGTGAATTGAGTAAGCTAAATTGTCCATAGTGTGTGCAAATGAAACTTTATTGGTGTTTCCCAGTGATAGGTTGCAGCTGCAAAGGCATTCGCTGCGTAAAACATATGCTGGACCCCTGGTTATTAAAGGGACTAAGCTGAAAAGAAAATTAAATTAAATTAAAGTAATCAAAATGTCACCAAAAAATGAACTCCCAGAATCCTCTCATAGACATCAGGGTATCATTTCAGAACACAAGATAACATGATCGCCAAAGCAATCCTGTATTTTTGAATGTTTGTTGATATGCTGCATTACTAATTGCTCTATACATTGTGCCATAATTCTATCTGCTGTGTCTCAGGGACCAAAGTCGTCCTTCATAACTCCAGAGAAGAGAGCCAAGCTGAAGTCCAACCCTGTTAAAGTGAGGTTTGCAGAGGAGGTGGTGGTCAACGGTCACTCACAGGTGTGATGCATTTATTAATTTACTCTGTGTTATGGAGCATTCACATTCAAATTCGATAGAGAAAATGATTAATAAAGAAAATGAAGGAGAGAACATGAACAAATGTGCATATTGATTATAGAGAGGCACTGAGAAAAGGCTTTGGCAGTCTACCATGTCTTAAGTGAAATCTCAGTCAATTTATCAGTAATTTATTAATTATTCAATTATCCATTAATCATAATCTGTGTGCAGATATGCTGACATAATGCATAATACAGCTTCAGCCTTAAGATGGTGCATCCTAATAAAACAACTCAAAAGTTCAAACATTTCTACATTTCTGAGTAAACCTTTTATTTAAATAGTGTTCATTTCCCTCAACTTAAAGGTGCTGCATTTAAGTTTTTGACTCTTCTAAAGCATAAAACACCATAATGTATGCAGACATTAAAGCAACATGCCAAGAAAACACTGTTGTTTATCTGAAAAACAATGCTGGGGTCAGATATTTTGCTTTGAAAATGTGTTACGTGCCAGAACAATGTCTTTGTTTGGTTCTGCTAACCCACCCAATGCCATTTTAGCCAAGTTTATATTCAAACACTCATGGTTGCCTTGGTGGAAAAGCTCTTATTTCATTCATTCGGAAAGGCTCTCAAAGCATGTGACCATGACCTCCGGTGGACAGTAGCAGACTCTGAAAAAAGATGCAGATTCATAGAGTTCTATATGAGGTTATTGATTAGCAAATAATATAAATATTACGAACTTAAACATTAGGTGAGCAGGTTACATTGTGTCCTGTGTTCTAACAGCACTATTTGCTGTTTGCACCAGACAGAGCAAGACAAACAACAAAATGTAAGGTTATAACCTAGTAAATATCTGTTAAACCTCTTTAAAATTATTAAATGTACATGCTGAATCACTGATGTGTTTTATTTTGAGTCAAACAAACATCTCAAACTGTCAGCTGTGTCAGTTCATTGCGTATGCATTTGCGCTGTTTTCGGGTGTTCATATAGCCAAAAAAACGTGGGCTATTGATACAGTTTTGGGAGAAGCAAAATTTCCATATGTGGTTTCAGTAGCCTGATGCATTTAGACCTGTCCAGTTTCCTCTGGAATGCATCCCAGACGACCTCCTGAAGTGGTTTGAGTGATCGGATTTAAAATCTGTCTCAAATGTGTTTTGGAGGGCATTTACCTCTGTCCCTTTCACGATCTAATAACTATCCCATCAGAAAAAAACACATGTAGTGACAAGGTGTAGCTTAAGTAGCTCCCATATGACTAATTAAACAATAGTTTCAACACTTTGTTGAAAGAGACTGCTGTTTAATAATTTAGCATATATGCTAACATTGCTATTAATATTATCTATTTTACATATTATATTTATAAATGCGTGTCTATTGACCTTGGTTCATATATTGATCTTTGACCTCCAGGGCAATTCTCTGCTGTTCCTGCCTAATGTTCTGAAGGTCTATCTGGAGAACGGCCAAACGAAGGCTTTCAAGTTTGAATCTAAAACCACTGTTAAGGTAATGTAGACACATTCACTATAATGTCACTAATGTAATGAGTTATGATGGATTTTTCGGTCAGCATGAAATATGGTTTTAAAGTACAATGGTAAATACATATAACAACATATATATGTATATTAAAAAACATACATATGTTACATAGCCTTGCGTGAAAATGTAATTTTTCCAAAAATAATAAGCAGTATATATTTTTTACTGTAATTAAAATAATAATGTATCAGTTCAGTACTTACAATGGCTGCTGAAAATTCAGCTTCAACACAGGAGCAAAAAACATTTTTAAATTACATTTAAAAGAGTATATTATGTAAAAAGGGAAATTTGTTTTGCATATTATGCAAAAATCACTTCTATAAGGGACTTAAACACAATTGTGTGGCAACAGTATGTGAAAATACAGCCAGCCTCTAAAACAATTATTCAATTTTTTTACAATCACACTTCATAAAACAGTCAACACTTTGGGCCCTATCATACACCCGGCACAATAAGGCGTAAAACGTGTTTCTAGGACGTGTTGCTATTTTCAGACCAGCACAACACTAATTTTCCCGTTTTCCACCACATTGTTTAAATAGCAAATCCATTTGTGGCATTTTGTGTACTCATGGGTGTTTCTGTCTAGATAAGATGCATTTTAGGGCGCATTGTTGGTGCGTTGCTATTTTGAGGAACTAAAATAGTCGGCGCAATAGACCAGCTGAGAGCAGGTCTAAAGTCCAGCGCAGAGCGCGTTAGTTGTATGCCTCCCTTACACATTGCTTAATACACACACAATGTACAACAATACGCAAATATCTTTACAAATGAAAAAAAATTAAAGGTAAAAGATATTAAGGTAAAGTTATTACTTTCTACATAAATATAAAAACCACTGCCTTCATGCTTGCATCATGTCGGGGGGATTTTTCAGTTTGTTCATGGCAATTTGCTTTCGTATAATGTTATTTTTATTAATAGTATTATTTATTTTTTTCTTATTTATATTTGTTTTATTAAAAACAAGCTTAGATTTGTCCACCTGTCCGGTTTTGGACCATATGGGGCATAGCATGTGTGTTTGGATATAACTATAAGTTTTTTGACCACATTTTGTTATTATTGTTCATTTATTAGTTTGCTGGAAATTAGAACTGGATTTAGAAATAGTTTGACACAAATCTTTGCGTTTAACAAACAAAATTAATTATGTAGGCTAATGGATGTCTGTGCGTACAACACGTTTCCCTATACACTAAAGAAAGATTGTGAATGTACAGAATGAGGAGGCTTATTCTCTCATTCTTGCTCTGCAGATGGTCTGTTTAACGGTTTTCTCTCAAGTGAAGTGTTCAGTTTTTTCACTTACAAAATCCGCCATGTAAATAGCAAATGCACCATGGCGCAATGCAACTGACTATTAAGGGGGATGAGAGATGACACTCATGATTGTTTTATTCTCAAAAAGAGAATAAGCTCAACCCTGTTAGACCATGCGCCGCATTTTTCTGTCTTTAAAATAGCAAAAGTGGATTCTAAAACGCCCATAATGCTTTTGCGCCCTGCGCTTTCGACTTTGCGCCAAGATCGTTACAATAGAGCCCTTAGACTGCAAAAGCAGCAGCACTTTGATTGACATTCTCTCTTCGTACATGTCATCAGAGGGGGAAAGTCACTCCTCTTAGTGATGATCTCTTCCTTATTAGCATAAACAGTCCTGAGTGAGAAGCAGCCGTCCGCTAAAGATTTCATACTGTTCCTGATTAAGATAATTTCAGTGACTAAGAGACCTTATAAATGTGGAGTTTAACAATTGTATCATGTCAGACAGCACGAACATGGCTCCCATGTCACACTGTAAGATCTCAGCTTTCACTAAGTCAGACTGAACGACACTGAAGACATGCCAACTCTGATGACAGAGCTTTACGTCATCCATCTGTGACACATTCACTATCTGGTCTTTTGAAATGATTCCTCGCAGCAAATGTAAACAATATGTTGCAGCAATTTTGCACACAGTGTGTCTTAATAATAAAACCAGGAAGAAAAAAAAAATGTTTTAACGTTTCCCTGTGGTCATTTGAATTGTCGCATGGATTGCGTCATCAAATTCAGCGCTCCTATTGGTTCTTGGATTGACGCTCATCTCAGCTGTTGTCACACTGCAGGAAAGTATCTGAGGAAAAATCTGATAGCAAAGGGCATTAAGCAGCTGTCTGTGAACGTGTCAAACCAACGATCGAAGATCACAGATTTTAGCTAGGATTTCAGGAATCTTTTAGCATTTTCCTAATTAGTCTCAGGTGACAAAATCATGGCTGAAATCTCACCGTGTGAGCAGAGCTTTAGTCCAGTTTTTGATTCTGCTGCTATGCTGAGAAATAGCTGTTAATAGCTCCACCCTCTTTTGAAAAAAGTCTGGAAGCACAATCTGATCTGAATTTAAAGTGACAGTCAACAAAATGGCACAGTTTGAATCTAAGACTAAAAGGGTCAGCTTCAAAGATTTATCAAAAAATTATATATGTGTGGTATTTTGAGCTGAAACTTCACATACACACTAGGGACATCAGAGACTTATTTTACATCTAGCAAAAAGGGGCATAGTAGGTCACCTTTAAATTTGTTACAAAATAAATTATTGCAATTATATTGAAAACGACAAGCTTTTTTTTTTTTTTTTTTTTTTAAATGTGTATAAAACTACTATCATTTTAATTTGCTGTTTTGTTATTAAATAAAATATAATTGGTGAAGTGCTCTTTCTGACCAAACTGAATGACTACAAATGTGAATGGCAGAGCAAGTACTCTAAACAGGACAATGATATTCATTCAGTATAACATTATTTATCCTGTTCTGTGTACTAATGTCCTCAAACTAAACGTTTAATATAACCTCTTTGTGTTTTCTCTAGGACATAGTGATGACTCTGAAGGAGAAACTGTCAATAACCCGTATAGAACACTTCTCCCTAGTACTGGAACAACAATACAGCATCAGCAAACTCTATCTACTGCATGAGGAAGAGATTATTCAAAAGGTACACACAAACACCATACAAGATCAAACAGAAATACACATTAGTACGTTAGGGCTTATTCATCCTCATGTTGTTGCAAAACTGTTCTTTTGTTCATAAACAAATATATTATTATATAAAATTATTATTATATATATAATTATTTAAAAAATATTATTAAGATTATCCTAAAAACTCGTGGAGTTATAAAAGTGACAATGTAAGAATATTGGCTCTTAAAATCATAAAATTCGTCCAAAAGATTTTCAGTACTTATTATTATTATGTACTCCAGAAAAAATACTGCACATGGGCGAACAAATTCTTTTGCTCATTCACTTGTCCTACGTAGGTTAAAGTATATGTGGAGACCATCTATAGGACATACCATAATAGTTTTATACATTTCAATGCTTTCATTTTTAAAAAATGTGGCATGTTTGTGTGCTGCTATGCGTCCTGTGTAATAAGTAGGCTCACACAAAATATGCAAATGCAGAAATCAGCAGATTTGTACCTCATTATTCAGTCTATTTATTTACTTATGCAATATTTATACGTTAAATGTTATATTAATAATTATATTTAATATTATTATTGACTAATATTTATATGTTTATATGATTTATACAGTATACTATAATAGTTTGTAAAGTAATATTTTAGTTGATATTGTCTTTAGTAGATATGTCATTTAGTAGATATATTAGACTTGCTTTGTTTAACTTGCCTATAAGTTCATATTACTAATACACTCTTTAAATAATAATAAAACAATAACAAAATATTGTGTCTGAAAAACCTTGTTTTCAGACCAGTACATACACTGGGCATGCAAATAGCACTTCATTTGCTATTTAACAGCGTGGAACAAGAAATGAAACTGAATACTATGACAGACTGAAACAAGGATTTTAAAAAAACTGCTTTTGTGCTGCTTTGCTCAACATTGCCCTGGGTTTATGATTTATATACTGCTTCCTTACAAAATGACTGGCTTAGCATGCATAAAACAAGATCATTCTGAAAAAGTTATGATCTGCAAAAGTTTATAAAAAAAATATTTTATCAATTTACAATGTTGTTTTTCTGTAAATGTATCTTTTATTCATAACATTTCAATTACTTTAATTTGATATAATTGACAGAAAACACACATAATGCTATAAAAGTTTCTATTTAAAAATAATTTTTGAACATTCTATTCATAAAACAATGTTAAACCAAAATATATTATGATTTTTCCATAAATATTAAGGAGCATAACTTTTGAACACTCTTCATATCCCTGTTTGTTTTCTACATGGAACACCATATTGAAGAGTAAACAGTGTTGTAAGAGAGCATTCTTTAAAAGATTTGTTACTTCTTCTTTACACACGTTTGTAATTGTTAATTGGCTGACGTTCAGTGTAATTTTTAATTTAATATACTTTGTATGTGTGACAGGTGGTTGAAAAAAAGGAGACACATGACTACAGGTGTCTGTTCCGTGTCTGTTTTCTACCCAGAGACTTTAAAAGCATGCTTACAGAAGATCCTGTGGGCTTTGAGTATCTGTACTTACAGGTGAGTGTTTCTTTCATGTTAGTTTCCTGCTATAACCACTAGTAAATGATTGTACTCCTGTAAGGAAATATCTAACCCTAATGCACATCCATCTATATTTTATAAACAGCATTACAAATGATTGGCATTAGATTGTTTTCTGATTATATGAATATTCTTTGGTGTATTACAAAGACTACGCTTGTTTGCATTCTTAGTGTATACACTAGGACACACACAGGTTTAAACTTAAAGTCAGCATGAAATGGAAGTTAAGTTCAAGGAAGTTTCCTTTATCATGATATATATTTGACTGAAATGGTTTTTAAAGTGGGGGAAAAAATGAAGGGCAGTGCATGATTTCATCCTTTGGGAATCTATATCATTGCTGTTGCTAAAAGAAAGAGGAAGATTTGAATGTCAGTTTTACTAAGTTGTAGAGGATTACCAACAGTGAATTTAGGCATGGACTCAGGCAGGGCGGCATCTTCCCGGGGGAGGCACGGGAAGTCAGTTTTGAGGTTTGGTTTGTTGGTGCCGGTCAAGCTAGACCTGCCACTTACTTACTAAATCACTGTCGGCTGTTGTCAGAATGTTTTGATGCATGAAGAAAAATGGGAGCTAGATTTTACAGACAGAATCTTACCATATTTATTTAAACCCCTGCCCCCCTTGAAAGCAGGGCATAAACAGGAGCCACACTTATAGCTTGCCCTATATATTCAAAATAATAAAGAGCACAGAGTCACAGAGTCATTGTTTATAATAAGCACTATTACTATAAATATAGAAATAAGAAGAGTTTTGATTTTATGCCAACTTAAATAAATAGCTAACTAGCAAATATATATATATATATATATATATATATATATATATATATATATATATATATATATATATATATATATATATATATATATATATATATATATATAAATTTATTTTAAAATAAAGTAAATATTGTTTTTATAGTTAGTAGTCATAGTCATTTGCATTTATGTTATGTCATCTTCTAGATGAGTGAATAAACGTGTGTCTATTTGTGTGTGTGTAGAGTGTGAGTGATGTATTACAGGAGAGATTCGCTGTAGAGATGAAATGTAATACAGCTCTCAGACTGGCTGCTCTACATGTACAGGAAAAGCTAGCCAGCAGTGGACAATCCCTTAAAACACCACTTAAAGCTATCATGTGAGTACACATGCAATAACATTATGCCATACTGTACAGTAAGTGTCCATACTACTTTCACGAACTTAGGAAACCCTGATGTTGCGTTTGATTGCTTGTTATATTATATTATATTATATTATATTATATTATATTATATTATATTATATTATATTATATTATATTATATTATATTATATTATATTATATTATATTATATTATATTATATTATATTATATTATATTTAGGCAGGTCCAAAACACATGTACACATTGCTTACTTCACACACAGGGATGCACAGCAGCAATCATATAGCTATGATTTTTTTAACACGTATGTTTTGGGTCCTGTTTATCATAGAGTCCTAAAGTGTGTTATTTAGAGTTTGTATGTCTGTATTTATTCTGTCTGAAGGAAGGAGTGGGGTATTGAAAGCTTTGTGTCCCACACCTTACTGCGCAACATGAGAGAAAAGGACTTAAAGAAAGCCATCAGTTACCACATGAAAAAGATTCTGTCTCAGGAGCCCAAGCAAAAGGTGTGTGCATGTGTGTTTTACTTTTTAAATTGTGTGGATGAATGCAAATCATCCATAATGTGCTGTATAACTGTAAAATACAATTTTAAAAGTGATGTGTACTGTATCGTAATACTCTGATAGATACATATTACATCTTGATATACCCTCTTACTTAATGATACTCTATCCATGTAACATTGGTTTTCCCTGAAAGAATAGCATAGTTTTGCCATGGTCTGTAAAATATGCTTTTACAAAACTGTTTGTACTGTACTAATTCCGTTTATTTAAAAATGTTCCCACATGTTGACCATTTTCATAGATGATCTCAGTGGATCAAGCTAGACTGAACTACATGAATGAGATGTCTGAACTCAAGTCATATGGAGGAAAAGCTTTTAGCGCCACTATGATGGTAAGAGATGTATTCTGCATCTTAATAGCCACTTTCAGGCATGAAATCCATTAAAGTGCTGTAACAATTTTCCCAGTAAATGTACATCACATTGATTCACACATGCAATGGCTTTTCTTCTGTCATCTGCTTTGTTACTGCTCAAACATTAATACCAAACTGCCATTTAAGAGAGTGAGAAGAATGCAAATGATCAAACCATTAACCTCTTCCTTGGACACATGATAAAAATGTGCAGTGATATTTTGTTGGTCTCACACAGGGCACCAAAACTAGTTATAGTATTGGTCTGAAATATTAACATTACAGCTTTTCTCGATTGCTTAAACACATTTCTTGAAACTGTGCCTCATATTCTAAAACAGTAAACACAAATCCATAACGTCTCACCCAATTTTCCAAACAGTCTATTTTCAGGTCAAAATGAAGCTCTACACTCAAAACCATACACTCTTGCTGAAAAACCAAACCTTGTCCTCAGACATCACACACAAGGCCTCAAAACACACATGCTGCAACTGTAGCTATGTTTCCATCCTCCTATTTTTATGTGCATTTTGTACATGCGCATAAAAAATGGTTGATAGAAATGGCAAGACGCGCATAAATTTTGAAAATGTGCATAAAACATATGCGCATAACTGAGTAGGATAAACTTTTTACTCAAAAAGAAATAAATTTTGACGAACAAATTCCTGTATGTGCAATAAAAAAGGTTATGTGATTTTGTTATAAGAGATCATGTGATGATAAAAATGTGCGTGAATGGATAAACCAGCAGGCTGAGCACATTATAAAACATCTGCAATGTTGTTTGGTCTTTTTAAAACATCTTAACCGATTCAATATTAGTGTTAATATATTTTTAATTACCTTCAGAATCAACAGTGTCTGTGCTCCGCGTCTCACGCCTTCAAACGCCACCGCACGTTCACTGCGTGTCAGGATTGCCTTCTGAGGCACAAGTCATTTATTAAATGAAAAAAAGATTCATGCAGCTTCTCGTACCACAGCAAATTCAGTTTTTATTGTTGATATTTGGCGCCATTTAATCAGGAAGTGACGATTTTGTTTGCTTTGACTCGTGCTGCTTTACTTGTACATCTTTTATGCAATATTCTAGTTTTCCACATAAAGTTAATTTGCATATTGGGATGGAAACATAGCTATAGTCTTACACACTGGTACAATAAATTAAAATAGTGTGGTGGCTCAGTGGTTAGCACTGTTACCTCACAACAAGACGGCCACTGGTTT